GGTTGTATTGGGTTACTGTGGTATAGTGTCCTGCCCGAGATACTATTTCTCTGGAGCCTTACAGCCTTACAGCTTGGACTTGGGCTAATGGAATTTAACACTAACTCTTACGGTGCTGAATTTCCTTTGTGTTTTTTTCTACTTTTTTCTCTTTACCACAGACAGAACTTGCTAGATCTTTCTTCTTCTCCAAAGGTGATGGAGGTATAACACGCCTATGAGGTATAACATGACTTGGTCACCCTCTTTTTGACAAGTTATCTAGATATTTTGGATCCTTTCAGGCATATATCCGATACTTAATTGTTTCCAGTGTTTCTGACGTTCTTGTTAAAAATATTGACCATTCGTATCAGTCACATATGCCCACAAGGGTTTTGATACAAAATATTGTGGTTTTTTTTTCTTGTTAATGTAATTAAGTTCGAAGTAAAAAAAAAAAAATGCCCCCAAAATCCCCAACCAACCAACCAAAAAGACAAACAAAACAAAAAACCCCCAAAATAAAACCAAACAAACCCTGAAGCAAAGAAAACAACAAACCAACAACCAAAAGCCTCAAACCACAAACAAACCAGCAACTACCCGTAGGCCAACAAAGCAATTGCTTTTGATATTCTAGCCAATTTCTTGGCAGATGCAGGATAGTGGTGCTGAGCTTCTAATGAAACAAATGCTGTTTCACTGCGGTCTATATTTGAGCATATCAGGGGAAGCTGCTGCTGCTGTTCGTTTTTCTTAGGACGCAAGGCTGTAATACGTAACATTTCTGTTGGAGGCCCCAGTTGGGCGGGGGGCGAGAGGGGAATATGAAGGGGAATATGAAGAACAGGCCTTCTGACTTTGTTGCTGTGTTGCTCATGAGATTTACAGAGGAGCATATTCAGTAGGGTGTAAGCACGTTAATTTATTCTTTTTGTGCAGGGGGCCCGAAGTTATTTTGTAAATTAGTAGACCTGAGTGAAGGCATTACTCTGGCTGTGCCCGAGACAATGTCTGGTGTTTGTCCTTGTGTCGCAGGCGGATTATTAAGGGATGTCACCCTGTGATAAAGATGGGGAGAGTCCTTTTTTGCAGGTGAATTTTACACTGAAGTCATTCCTGGTGTGTTAATTGAAAAGTGCCGATTTCATGATGAAGAGATGCTCACATGGCATGGTATGGAGGATTTAATGAAAACCACAGGGAAAGGAAATGGTGATTAAGCAACTGTGGAATGGTAATTTGAGCCAGAGACGTTGAGGCCGTTATTGGTAAAACCGTTGGAGCTGCGAGGTGCAGCTCTGCCCGACTTTGCTTCAACACCCCCCCCCCCCCCAGTGGGCAAAAGCAGGAAGCGGCACTCGCAGCCGAGCCGGTGTTGCGGCCGCCGGACTCGGTGGGCGGCTTCAGAATCGCGTCTGCCCCGGCGGTCCCGCGCCGTCTCTGGGAGAGACCGAGAGCAGCCCTCCCCTCCCCCGCCCCGCACTTCCAACCGCCGAACCGCCCGCCTCGTCCTGGCCGCTACCGCTGCGGCTGCGCAGGTGTAGCGCGCCGGATGTGGCTTCATACTCCCTCCCGGAAACGTAGTCACTGCAACGGTGGTTCCGAAGGTCGTTGCTTCAGATGATGTCACAAGTGTTGTTTCGTGCTGGAGTTGTTTTCTGTTGTCAGTTTCTTATTCGTGTCTTGTGGAAAGTTTTTCGCTTTTCCTTTTAGTGCGTTTCTCTCGCACCTTCCGCCGTCTCCAGACCCAAACCTCGTGTACTCGCCCCACTGCTGCAAAGGCAGCTGCCGGAACCTTTTTTCCCCGTTGCCACAGGAAGGGCTTCGAGGGGGAATATCAATTTCAGGGCGCTGTGCTTCTCGTCGCCGCCGGAGGTGTGGGTGGGTAGTGGCGTCCGGTGCAGTCGCGCGGTTACCGAGGCTCTTGCTGATGTTGCCGGGGCAGCGGTGGCGGAGGCCTCGCCCCGGTCTCATGGTTTCCCGTTACAGGGCGGCGTTGGCCGCCTTGGGCTGGAGCACGAGGCTCTGCGGTGCGCTGCTGGTGGTGGTGTTGTTCCGCGGCTTGGTGCTGTAAACGCTTTAATCTCTCCTGTGTTAGTGCTGGTGACCCGTGCTGATCTTGTTACAGAAAACCGGAGAGGTCGGGACAGCTGGCGCAGCCGGACTCTCCCACGTGGAGATGCAGCGAGTGCCGAAACGCTTGTATGTTGGAGGGCTTGGCCATGCGGTTTCTAAGGCTGAGCTGCAGGAAAGATTTGGCAAGTTTGGGCACGTTTTGGATGCGGAGGTTATTACCAGACAAGATGATCAGGGTAACAGCATTGTGCCAATCTTTAACATTCTTTTTAAAGCGAATTGGTTTTTAATTTGTGTGTGAAATGGTTTTGGTTGGGTTGTTGTTTTTTGTTATTGGGGGTTTTGGGGTTTGGTTTTTTGTTTGTTTTTTTTTTTTAGCTTATGACACATTCTCAGTTTTTAGTTTTAAAGGAATCTGTGAAATTACATAGAAATTAACTGAGTGTTTCTCTTTGCTCAGGGAACCCTCTGAAAGCTTTTGCTTACATCACTGTCAATATTTCAGATGCAGATCTTAGAAAGTGTGAGTAAGTGGTTTTATTCATTTCTTTTTAAGTAATTTATGGTTTTGAGGCAGTTTGCATTACTGAAAATCCATCTAATGTTGTCGTATCACAATGTGGTCAAGGTAGACCCTGTTTCCTTCTATTGTCATGTTTATTCCCTTTAAGCTGCAATTTTACTTAAGTTACTTTACAGGAGCTCTAAGTAGGTGTAAGCACATTAAAAAGGCTTCTTGTGATTGAGATGAGTGACTTAATGAATTTGTTCTAACCCTTGTAGGAAAAAATATAGGAAATGTGCTTCAAACACTCGCATCAGGTCCGTAAAAACATTGTGACTTGGTATGAGAGGAAGCCCAGGAGAAGAGTTTATGTAAAGCATGCTCCTGTTACAGCAGTATTACAAATCCCAATGTCATGGGGTTACAAAACTAGTTGCAGGGTTATAAAACCACCTATGTAATATGTGGCACCAAAATGGCAGGTGAAGATGCCTGTTCCCAATGAGAGGACTTGGAAATATGCCCTTTTATGTAGGAAATGCTACAGTTAGGAATGGTAAAGTTGTTGGAAAGCGACTGTTTAAGAGCCCTTGACACTTTGCATCCTAAAGTTCCAAGTACACCTTTTTTCTCTCTGATTTTCTGTAGTCCTTAACTGTGTTTTTCAAAGTGCACAAGAAGTGAAGTCAAGAAGAGCCTATGTGACAGTAATGTAGAAACATCAGGGTACATGTGTCTGAATGACTTGAATGAATCTTTTGAAGTCAGAATTTGAATTTTGGATATGGACTTTCTTGTTTAAGACTTAGGTATTAGACTTTTCACGTACAAACTTAAATCAAGGGAGTAATAATACCATGCTGAAGAAAGTTCTAGAAGAAGGTATAGTTAAGCCTGAGGTGTGGTTTTTTTTTTTTGTTGTGCTTTTTTTTAATGTGAAAAATATTCATTTGCCATCTCCTTGTTCTACAGGCATGACAGTTTTAAATAAAACAAAATGGAAAGGCGGGACACTGCAAATTGAGTTGGCCAAAGAAAGCTTCTTGCACAGGTAAAAATGAATTTTAAAAATCGTATATATATTGCTGCTGAAGTTACCCCTTTTCTGATTATCTGATAGTATTATAATTGTGCTTTCGGCTGCTACGCTCTTAATCTTTCTAGATTTTATTGACATTGGTGCACTGTCGATGCTCATTGGATACTGCAACATGTTTGGCATCATTATTCCCTTAAAGGTAGCAGATGTGCCATTTCTTTGGGTTGGAATGGTTACTGTTCCGTGGAACAAAGTTGCTGCCAGCTGTAATTTAGCACACGGGCAGACTTTTTTATCATGCATGATGTGCTTGTTGGTACAGGCTGGCCAGGGAGAGGGAGGAAGCAAAGCTGCAGAAAGAAAAGCCACAGAGAAATGGCCAAGCATCTCTGTTAGAATCGTTGAAAAAGGTGGGAGTTGTGGACTTCTTTATGAAAGCAGTACCAGGTACAGAAGTGCCAGATCATAAGGTATGGTGGGGCAGGTGTGAAGAGAACTAAAGCAAAACAAAAGCCAGAATTGGGCATTGGCTTCTTACATCTGTATTTGTGTCAAATCTCTACCCGTTATGTAAAGAAACCTTTATGAAACACCCAAGTTGTGAAAAGCAGTCTAAGGAAATACTTTATGTATTCCTTGTGTAGAATGTTCCTGGTGTTCTTTGTAATACCTAAAACTCATCTTGATCACACTCTTTTGTGATGTTAAATTACTCCTTTATGTTGGAAACATCTTTGTGTCCCCCTTAAAAGCATGTAGGCAGAGTGTGTGTCTTCTTTCTATACAGAATATACATTTTTGACATCTGGATTGTCAGGAGCTAATCTCTGTGCTTCTGCACATTCAGGGTCATGGTCTACACATGCTTGTAAAAGTAAGACTTGGAATGAAAGCACTGAATATGAACATTTGGGTAACAAAGATTATACTTTCTACAAAGTTTTCAAAGTTATTTGCTGAGCACAGAGTGGTTTCGGAGGGTGATGGGGGGGTTAGGGTTTGTTCTTTTTCTTTTATTTTTTTTTTTTCTTTTGTGAGGGAAGCTGACTAACTTGCTCAGTACAAATAAATCTCACTGAAGAGAGTAAACAAAAAAAAGCTAGTCACAGATGGTTCTTTATGAGTGTTTCTGTTTTCCAAGAATATGCATCCCGTTTTATTATGGGGTTACTTCCAGTCCTTGTTTGTTTTACGCTGGTTGTTTTTCTTCTCTTTCAGAAATGGGTTGTTGGCAAATTTGGAAGAGTCTTGCCTATCCTGCACCTCAGGAGTCAACAGAAAAAGAAAATATCCTTTTCCTCTTGGTTGGGCATAGGCATGATTCCCTTCTTTCTTTTGTTATATGGGGAAACATTTGCTTCACAGCCTGGAAGTGTGACATAGTAGCCAACGTTGATTCACTGGATTCCCTAAGTAAATCTTGCAGTAGGCTTGTGTGATTTGAATACATTGTTTAGACTGCAAGTCAGCTGCTTAAAGGCTTAAGGTTCTGACATGAAGAAGGACTCTGGGTTGTCCTTTCACACAGAATCCAGCCTGTTCATAAAGACTGGAAGTTTGCTTGCTGAAAGCATCATGTTGGGTTAGTTCCTTAACTCAGACTCACATTATGAAATATGACCCATCAAAATATTGCCATAACCTTAGAAAGCTGGAGTCAGACTTGACAAATGCCGTTCCTGTTTCTGAGCTTGCTTGGCACTTGGAAGAGAGAGGTGACAGCATAAACCCGAAGCGGAAAGGAGAGTCACCTGCAGTGAAGAAGCCACCTAAAAAACTGAGGCAGCTGGGCAGTGAGGCTTTGAATGGAACAGTAGTTCTCCCCTCTGGGTGCCGGTCAAATTCAAAAACCACAAGCTCACCACAACTAGATCAACGATCAAAATGTAAACCCAAAGGGAAGTCTAAATTGCCTCCATTGAGGAGTCTTAATAGTAAAGTATCTGGGAGAGGCATATTACCAGATGAAAGCAATGTTTCTGGTGTTACACTTCAAAATAATACGAGTGTTTCTGAGAGTGATATTGATTCTGAAGAGGAAATCAGAGCCATGGTAGAGAGAGAAGTACATAAAGCTGAAACTGGCAAGGCTGAAAGTGACCACTTGGAAATTGCTGGGGACAATTTTGAATTAAAATACAGTAGTTACTGGTCCTTAAGCAATCCAGATGCCATGAAGCAAGCTATCAAAGGAAGCTTTAGAGAGAAAAAGATAATGGAATGTGATAATGGTTATCAGTCAGCAGATACAGATGAAATTATTGCTAAAAGTAAAACTCCACATCTACATAACAAGAACTCTACAGTTTTAGATGATTGTAAACCGGTGAAGGTGGAAAATGAAGACATCTTAACTGAGAAAAAAAGTGATTTTGTAAATAAATCCTCAGTAAAAACTCATAATTTAAAAGAATATGTGGAAAAAAAAGGCAAAAAGAAAAAATCCCAAACTGCTGCCTTGCAGAGCACAGCAGGTAACAGTGCAACAAAGACAAGTGATAGTGAAAGCTCTTGTTCAGATCCTGAGAAAGAGGAGTCTGAAAGCAGTTTAGATTATGAATGCATGATGCAAAACTGTTACCACTTAGACATTACATTGGATGACTTACAAGCATTAGCTACTGCAACACGTGGAGAAGAATTAGACATTACATGGAGCTCTAGTCAGTGTGGTGTTGAAGAATATCCTAAGGGTAACGTTGGAAATAAAACAAAGCTTTCAAAATTTTGCCCTGCAGTTAGGAAAAAATGTATCTGTCCTGAAGATATAGTTGCTGCGATTTTGGCAGGGGAGGATGCTGCTGATGAAGCAAGTTTCAAGGAACAAAATAATTTGCATTTGAAATATCAGCCCTTCAGAGGATTGGGGTCCCTTTGTGAAAAAGAGTTACCCAGGGACAGCACTGGTTTAGAGAAGAGGTTTGTAGAAAGATTAGATCTTGAAGCTTGTGTTTCCTCCTGTGGGGAGGAGTCATCTCAAAGACAGCGAAAGAACCATCAAGTGTATTCAGTTGAACTCAGCAGTAAAAAGCAACAAAATGCGCGTTGTGAACTGCACGAGGAACTGTCACATGCTGCGTCATTTGCAGACGAGAGAGGTCAGCCTGTGTTCAGGCTGCACTTGCAAGGAAAGAACAAAGATGCAAGTTCTGCACGATCCAAGCAATGCTCAGAGCATGGAGATGCTGCTGCTCGTACTCTTCAGAGTGAAGACCCGAGCAGCAACATGGATAGTAATGCTGCAGTGTCACAGAAACACACTGAACAACTGAAAAGCCCCAGACTACTTTCAAAACAATCGAAGCAGGATGTAAGCAATCCAAATCCAGAATGTGAAGCTGATAAACGTGAGGATGGGAAGAGAAGCTTTCTGGAAAATAAAGAGCTTTGTTTTCATGCTAGTGCTTCAAAGGAACGTAGACCAGAAAAGAAACAGTTGCAGGATAACCAAAGGAGGCTAGCAGCTCTGGGGGAGAGACAGAGAGAGAGAGAGTTACAGAAGAAACTCATTCAAGGAGCTCTCTCCAATCTGGTAATGACACAACTTCTCTCTGAATAGTATGCAGTAAAAGAAACAGGGAATTAATAGATGTGGTTTAAGATATTTTAAAAATCATTGTTTGGAATTTTTGGTTAACATTGCCACTTTTCTTGTGAATGTATAAAAAGTGATGAATGCCAATTAATGGAATGCGTCTTGAGTTGCAAGAGGAATAGTAGATTTCTTCTTTCATGTCATGGAAACATCTTTTAGATACTGTGTATGGCTGTAGCAAGTATTTGTTAAGTTTGACTTGAGAGTTTCACTCTTCCACAGGATAGCCAGCCAGCAGGCAAGCATAAACACGTGATATTTCATTCAGATGTGGAAAGTGAAGCTGAAGTAGATGAGACATTGAAGAAAGATGCCAGTTTGGGAAATATGCATGAGGACGTAAGTGTTATTGAGAGCAAGTCCAGTATTCTGTAAAGTAATTCCATATGGATATGACTGTGCCTTATATTCCATATGATTATGCCTCTTTTTCTGAAGACTGTTTTTCGTAGTGAAATGACAGAAAAATGTGGGCCAGGTTTGGATTAATAGGAAGGATTCTTCTCTCTCTTTTTTTTCTTTTTTTTTTTTTTTTTTGATAACATGGGGTAGGTTTCAAAGAATTTAACCATTCCTCTGCTAAAACTGGAGAACTTTGAGAATGTGTAAGGAGTTTGAGATTTGTATGAAAGGTACTCTGACTTGGATGAAAAGACAAAGAGTGCTTAAGTTACATTAACTAACTTAATTAGTTTTGAAATGTTACTGCTTTTAGTCAAAGCAGGGGGAAGAGTTTTGGCTTGAGTACTATAGAGGGACTCTGGTCTTTCCAAGCCTGTGGATGAAGAATCTGTATTAATTGTGTTAATGCAATGTTGCCTTTTTAAAGTCATGTTGGGGTCCAGGTAAGTTGTGTGGGACTTCCTCCATACACTGCACCTGTGACCTTATTTAGCAGACTATTTTCTTAGTCACATCTCAGCTAAAGAGTCAGACCATTGGGTTTGCTTTTGTTGTTTTTTTTTTCTTCATAAATGCTGTAATATTCTGACCATTTTCACTGTGTAATTAAAACATTTTCTCATTTATCCTTGTGTTTATCACTTCTTTCACTCATGTATATCCTTACCCTGTATTTGGAATCCATGCCCTATAATTTCCCCTTTCTTTAAAAGAACTTCTGATTAATGGAAAACTGTTTAAAGCCATGGAGTGCTTACATTTTGCAATCATTGTTTTTGATCAACTGACTTAAACTATATCCTTGAGTTTATGCCATAAGTGAGGCTTGTTTAGAAAGGGTATAGTTTGACATGCGTATCTTTAAATATCTCCCTTGACATAATCAGAAATTTGGGGGTTTATACCCAGTTATCTCATATTGTAAAAGCCAAGTTACCCTTTACATAGATATTTTGTCTATGCTAAATTTTAATAGTCTTAACTGTAAAACAGAATTGTATGAGTTGTGTGTACAATGTAGGAGTTGAAGCGCATGGATCAGTAAGTGAGCTGCATGTTCTAGAAATACAGTTCTTCAGATAAACTGGAAAGCACTTGAGCAAAGCTGATGCTGATTTGTTTTCTCAAATTTACGTAAACTGCTGCCTTTCTCTGTTTTCTTTTTGTTTATCAAAGGATGGATCTGCTCCTAAAACCTTGGGCAGACTGTTTGACAGCAGTGAGGATGAGCAAGATGATGTGGATGCTGAGAGATTCAAAATTAAGCCCCAGTTTGAAGGCAAAGCTGGTGAAAAAGTGAGTGAACCCATTACTGTAATTTAGTCTTCTTCTAAGTCTCTGTTAGGCTGCTTCAGAAGTACATCACACATGGGTTTGCATGCTTGCTGAATGTGATTTTGACAAAACTACAATGGAATTCCCTGAACTAGAGGAAACAGCGGCCATGGAGGAAGTGATATATGTTGGGGAGTGGGAGGAGTTTCTCTGATGTTGTCATCTTTGAAGTTACTGAATGTTGATGGTTTTCTTCTCCAGTGCTTAGTAGTGTCTTTCATTTTGGTTAGCTCTTGAAATTGCAGTCACGACTTGGCACGGATGAAAGATTCCGCATGGACGCTCGATTCCTTGAAAGTGACAGTGAAGAAGAAGGTAAACCTGCTCCTATTTTCTGGTTAATGACAGTAATAGAGCTACATCATGGAGCCTTAATATTGGATGCTTGAAACAAATTATGGACTACTTTTACGTCGGAGATTTCATAAGAAAAACAGCTCGGCTCTTGTGGCTGTGCATAGCCACGTTGGTGGCTGTGTTTTCCCAAATGTTTGTGTTGCAGATATATTTGTAAGAGCTGAGTGAGATGTACTTAGTACATCAGTCAGCACCTGAAAATATTTTTTTAATACAGGATGATCCCAGAACGCATTAATCCATGTTTTTCATAGAGTTAAGTAGTGATTTCTTAAGATAGACATTTTGACCATTACACTCACATAAACAATTTTATAGTGATCCTGCAGTCCACGGCTGATCTATTAGCCTTAGAAAGAAAGATTTTTTTGTTGGGTGGTTTTTTTTTTCTTTAAAAAGCAGAAAAGCCAAAAAAGGAAAACATGTTAAAATATTTCTTTTTTCCACCCCCTACCAAAATTGCAATTCTTAACAGTTTTCAAGATCAAGAATTTGTTTCTGAAACTTAAATTTTTGCCTACTTCTGCTACTCCCTTTGTTGATTTAATGTGATCATCTGTTCAGTGTCTATGAGGGACCAAGTAGTTGTACAGTTATATGATATAAGCAGAGAAAAAGTTAAATAACGGATCTGGTTTTCTGCACTGCAAGGGAGAAAACCTTCAAGTAGCTTTAAAATTAAGGAGGTGATGTGCTTGAAACGTGAGGACTTGTAGTATGATAGTAATGCAATATATCAGATATCGCAGGCTTACTCGGGTGGTAGCAGGGGAAAGATTATGTATTTTTCTTATAGCAGAGACAAGCATCTTGAAGGCAGATGAGGAAGAAGAGCTTGCTGCAGAGAAAAAGAAAAATCTGGAAATCCTGGGAAGTCTCTTGAATGTCAACCTGGAACACCCTAAGCTGACGAAGAAGGCCACAAGTGCTAAGAAATTCAGGTCTGAATTGTCTGTTATCAATAAAGAAGGAATCTTAGGAAGGCTTAGTTTTTGCCCATGTTTCACAACTAAATTTTCTACCAAGCTGATTAGGAAAAGTGTTTCCTTCTCTGTCGTGTGCATTTGAGGTTAGTCTTTAATGCAGTTTCTCAAGTTGAGTGTCTCAATAGATTATACAACTGATAATAATCATTATTTTATGCAAAAATACTACTGATGCCTGCTCAAGTTTCTTCTAATAGCTCTAGATTGGAGTGTTGATAATGAAAAATCAACATTTCAAGTCCTTGCCTAGGTAAGACACATTTCTGTTCTCTGTGGAGACAAACCTAATGTGGCTAGACGAAGAACATGAGAGTTGGGCTGTAGGTCAGTAAGTTATTAACTGCTGCCAAAGTTAGAGTCTAAGGGTATTGTTTTTGCTGGCCTAAAAGTGATTAGGCCTTCATCAGTCCTCTTTTTCAGTGGAAAATTTGTTGTTTTTTTTTTTTTAAATTACTATTGTTTTCCTTTACCTGTATTTCTGCTTTAATTCTTCATTCGATTAGGACTTTGTTACATGTTGCTGTTGGGCATGCTGTAGCCTTCATTAGAGGACGATGTTAGAGGTCTGGAAATGTACTGTGGGAAGTATGGTGAGATTTAACTATGACCTTTAACAGAAATTGGTCTGTGGAGTGAACTGGTGGAAGTTAGTAGCGTTAAGGGTAGTGCAGTAGCACACAGTTTTTAACAAGTCACTATTGGAGTTGTATCAGTCGATTGCTGGCTGCTAAATACCAATTGTGACCACTGTGTAGTCATATTTAATTGTTAATTACTTCTGTACAAATTTTAATGCATTCTCTAAAGCCTAAGTGGAGGGGGGAATCATCTGTGCAACCCCAAAGGTGATCTCTAGGGCAGTTCTGTAAATGATGTTGTTCTCTAGTACCCAGTTAATGGTGCAGTGTGTAACTATTTAAATGTAGTTAATTTATGCTGTAAGCATTAATTTAGGGAGAAAAGAGGAAAGGGAAATAAGTGATTGCCTTCTTGCATTGCCGTAAGGCAGCGTTGGATTTGCTACACTAGTGTTGGGATTCGTCTAAACCTTGAACTGCTTTAGCTGAAAGTCTCAAACTGTTTAGATTTTGGAAGGTGGGCATAATGGGTGTGTGTTTTGTTTTTTTCTTGGTTAGTTGTGTGGGGTTTGGGGAGTTTGGGTTGGTATTTTCTTTTTGTTTGTTTGTTTTTCATTTGGGGTTTATTTTCCTCCTCAGATATTTGAATTTTGAACTGTTTAGTACCAGAAGAAATAGAGATCTATTGCTATGGATAGCTGTACTGTTATAGCTCCTCAAAAGATAAACAGGTGCAGGTAGAGACTTACTGCATAACACACACAACCTGAGGTCTAGGTTTTATAGTAAATACATCTATTTGATTAAAGCCACTTCTGTTTATAGTTTTTCCTGACCCAGTCACTGACTACCAGGTACTGCCTAAATGCCAGTTAGGCTTTAGATTGATCTGGAGCTGTTTTGGTCAATAAGTCAATATGAATTTGAATCTGACTGTAAAGGTTTAGGGTAGCTTTCACTTGGGCATTTCGGATGCCTCATGGTTTTTTCTTTCTGTTTTTATAGAGATATTAATGCCCTCCGCTATGATCCCACAAGAGAGGACCATGTAGTTTTTGAAAGGAAACGAAGTGCTACAGAACAAGAGAGGTAATACTACAGCTTGGTAACTAGGATTGTGATGTTTCTTCCTGGGGAAAGATGGCTGTAGCAGAAGACTGACATTGAAACTCTGGAGACTGCTCTGTTTTTTCTTCAGTTCTCTCTGTTATTGCTAAAATCAAAAGATAGAATTGTGAGCACTAAAACCAGCATATAATGTCATCTTTTCTTTCTAGTCCATCTACTTCTGCACACCATTTTGTCTTAATTTTCTCGCCTTCAGGCTGTCCCTTTGCTTCAAGTCACTGACTTCTAAGATTTGCAAATCTGTGAGAAAAAAATACTGTCTATTAACATTTCATTTGCTTGGATAAGTGTAAGAAGACATTAATAACAAGGTTGCCTCTATGGGAACCTTTCTTTTAAAAATACACATACAGTGTTACTATCCTTTAACAATCTCATTTCAGTAAAGCTAAAAGGAAGAGGGAGAGGGAAGAGAGTGAGAAACTGCCAGAAGTGTCTCAAGAAACGTATTATGACATTGCTGTTGATTTAAAAGAGTTGTTTGGCTCTTCAAAGAGCAAATCACACAACAATGAAGAAACACCCTGGGACAAAGATGATGCGGAGGACTCTACCCCACCTGACCACTTGGGACCTAATGTCAGGAGTAACGTAGCTGAGGAGTCTGGTGGTTTCAAGTTTTCCTTCTTTGGAGATACGGAGGAGTCAGGCATGAAAGGAGGTAACAGCAGAACATGGATAATAATAGTGCAACTTGTGATGGGTAGCTTATGTCAGATACCGTAGAGTTGTATCATGTAGAGAAATTCATGGCCCAGGTGACTTTCAGAGGCAGAAATCAGTAATAATTGCTACAATCTTCTCTGATGCTTGTCAAGATTCTAGTTTAATCAGAGTTAATCCATGCTTGTATCCCAGGAATTTTGAGAGGAATGTTTTGAGAAAGATCTATAATTTAACTGTTTTTTGAACAGTGGTGGATAAACTTGCTGTCATCCACTAAATTTCTTAAATAGGGAAAAAGATGACATAAAAGTCAAATGCGATTTCATGTAAACCATCAAAATTTTAAATAAATTATGCTGTCAGAGTTCAACAATTGCCTGTGTGTAGTACAGGGAGGAATACACACATGAAAATAATACAGCTTAAACAAAGAGTATGGCATTATGAATTTATTTGCAAACGAGCTTTTTAAGATAGATCACAGCGCAAGACAGCTTTCATTACAACTTCTGCAAGATAAAAATATGAAGAGGCACATTTACTTCCAAATCAGCTGATGATTGTGAGGTTGGCGAGAACTGATAGAGCCCAGGACCCTGATAACAAGCCCTGAAATGACTACTGCACTCTTTGCCTATGGTGTGATGACCCGAGTTACAAATTTTGAAGGCGAAATCTGTGACATATGAGAAAGCAAACCTCAATTCATACCTACCCTGAGGACATATAAAACCTGGGAGGGGAGGTTTCTGTTCTTCTTAAAGCTGTCATTTCCAATGTAATTATTTCACTCTGAAGTAGGTATTAGTATTGGCAAGTATGTTAATAATCTGACAATTTTTCTTTTTCAATTGTGCTCTTATTGCAGAGCCCTACATACTTGAAACAATAAAACCTGTGAAAGTCAAATGGCAAGAAGATCCACGTTTCCAAGACAGCAGTTCTGAGGGTGATGATGAACCAGAGGCATCAGAAAGCAAAAGGGACAAAGAAATGCAAGTTTTATTTGTAGTTGTTGTCTACTTGGTTGTGGTGGGTTGATACTATGGGAACATTAATAACAGCACCTGGCTCACGGGGAGACTGACATCTTCATTCCACATCTCTGGACAAGTGCAGTCGCCTGTGGAAAGCATTCCTTGCTTCACAGAATGTAGTAGTCAAAAATGCCAATGCCACACGTGATTGTTGAGAAGAAAAGCTGACTTTCTAGCTCAGTGAGGAGAACTCAGCTGGGTAGTGGGCTTGGCCCAAAGTCAAATCGCATGTGATGTTTTCTTCAGAAAGGTTTTTTTATAGGAGGTTGTATTGGGTTACTGTGGTATAGTGTCCTGCCCGAGATACTATTTCTCTGGAGCCTTACAGCCTTGCAGCTTGAACTTGGGCTAATGGAATTTAACACTAACTCTTACGATGCTGAATTTCCTTTGTGTTTTTTTCTAGTTTTTTCTCTTTACCACAGACAGAACGTGCTAGATCTTTCTTCTTCTCCAAAGATGATGAACGCCTAAGAGGTATAACGTGACTTGGTCACCCTCTTTTTGACAAGTTATCTAGATATTTTGGATCCTTTCAGGCATATATCCGATTCTTAATTGTTTCCAGTGTTTCTGAAGTTCTTGTTAAAAATATTGACTATTCGTATCAGTCACATATGCCCACAAGGTTTTTGATCCAAAATATTGTGGGGTTTTTCTTGTTAATGTCATTAAATTCAAAGTGAAAACAAAAACCCAAAAAAAAAACCCAAAATAAAACCAAACAAGCCCTGAAGCAAAGAAAACAACAAACCAACAACCAAAAGCCTCAAACCACAAACAAATCAACTACCCGTAGGCCACCAAAGCAATTGCTTTTGATATTCTAGCCAATTTCTTGGCAGATGCGGGATAGTGGTGCTGAGCTTCTAATGAAACAAATGCTGTTTCACTGCGGTCTATATTTGAGCATATCAGGGGAAGCTGCTGCTGCCGTTCGTTTTTCTTAGGACGCAAGGCTGTAATACATAACATTTCTGTTGGAGGCCCCGGTGTTGGGGCGGGCGAGAGGGGAATATGAAGAACAGGCCTTCTGACTTTGTTGCTGTGTCGCTTATGAGAGTTACAAAGAGGAGCATATTCAGAAGGGTGTAACCACGTTAATTTATTCTTTTTGTGCAGAGGGCCCGAAGTTATTTTGTAAATCGGTAGACCTCAGTGAAGAAAGAGATGGTTGGGAAGACAGGCGTAGATTATTGCTTGAGGTGAGCGTTTTAACATCTCTTACTCGGTAACTGGCTAAAAGCTCCACATGATGGGGGAACACAGCTGTTTATTTCCTTAATTTGCACTGAAAAATAATTTACGATCTTTAGATGGGCTTAAAGCTTTTTAATTACTGGAGGACTGAAAAGTTTTATAATAAATGTATTCATGACATCATGTTGTGATGTTCAGTCAGGTAAGTTACTGAATGTCTGTATTGTATAGGACCAGTTATTTCATGTAAAAAAGTATAAAGAAAGGACACATGAACTTCCAAGCATCTCATAATGTTGTGCTCAAATTTGAATCTTTTCAGGAATGCCGGAGGAAGCATAAGGATGCAAGAAGGAAAGTGAAAGCAAAACAATAAATATTTCTGATCTTACTGGTCAGATAAGACCAGTTTTGTGGTTTTTTTCTTTGGAGAAGTTGCAGAAGAAATTTAGTTTCAGAATAATATTGGAATTGGAATATTCCAATAATAATATTGGAAAAGTCTTTGTTTTGCATGTTTGTGGTGAACTCTTTTGGTGTGGGTTTTTTTTTGTTTGTTTGTTTTGGCATTTTGGTTTGGTTTATTTGTTTGTTTGTTGTTTTTTTTTTTTCTTGTTATAATGTGAACACGCAACAAAGCAACCCAGGTTATTTTGCTGTGTTCTCAGACCCCAGTGCCAAGTAGTGTTGTCCAAAGGCAGGTAGCTCTGTGTCTGTAAGACCATCTATACTGTAGTCTGCCCAACATAATAGAGATCTGTTTCAGATTGCTTTACAGATATTTGGAATGCATTATTTCCTGAGTAAAAATTTGCCAAAACTTTATGAAAACACATATATTAGCAGGGAAGATGTCTGAAATGGGTACATGTGTATTTCTTCAGAGTTGATTTCTTAACTTCTTAATTCAGTGTGAACATCAATAAATATCAAGGACAGATCTTGCTGGTGTGGGATGCTTGCTGTTGAATGAAGGATATTAGTACGTACAAGGTCTCATTCCTACACCCAATGAGCATATGTGCTGAGCAGAGAGGCTCCATCAGGACTTGCCTGGCCCCAGCCCAGTTGCAAGTTGGTGGAGGGCTGGAAGGTTGAATCAAAGAATAATAGGGGACAAGGCATGAAGGAAGTCCCACAGGGTGATTGTACAGGTTCAAACAGCCCTTTGCTCTTCAGGCAAACTACAGGTGGTCTTACAGGTGCTGTGCACCCCAAGTGCCTTCCTGATAGGTCTTAATGCACCTTGAAAACTGATTCAGTGGAGTAGGGGGCAGCGTCCTCTCTGAGCAAGGCAGGGGAAGCTGGGAGGGAACCTGTCAGGCTTTTGAGGAAGGGAAGGAGGTATCGAGGGCGCAAAAGAGGACTCGGGGCCAGCACTTTGTCCCCTTCCTCTTGACCGCTGTGATTGGGAAGACGCGAGGCGTGGGCATGGTCAGAGCAGGTCGTGCTCTTCAGGGGGATTGCACGGTGAGCTCCGAGGCACTCCCGAGCAGCGGTGCTCGAGTGGAGCTGGCCAAAGGGCTGTGGCCATGCACAGCGTCACTGTGAACCGAGGTCTTTGTTCCCTGGCACCGGTCAGCTCTGTAGGTGACGGAGCTCTCGAACGCCCTGGTGTCGGAAGGCCGAGCAAAGTCTCAGGAAGCCGGGGGACAAGGGGAAACTGAGCACTAGAGTCTGTCCTGGAACGTGGCTGGTAGAAGAGGGTGGCTGAGGATGCTCTAAAGGCAGGAGCTGAAGGAAGCAGCCTGGGAAGCCTCTGGTCACTCTCAGCAGCGTCAGCCGGCTGGTAACGGAGGAAGGCTTCTGGGGGCTTAAGGTTCCCGTCTTGGTCCTGAATTGCCTGGATTGGACCTGGATTCTCCACTAGGAGGATGTCACCTTCCTTTTCTCCTACTCTGGTTGTGCCCAAGACATAATCTGGTGTTTTTTCTTGGAAAGTGGTCTCAGGACTTGGTGGTGCTTGTTGAGGAAGTGACTGCTGCTTAAGTACTCACCTTGAGCCCACAGTCTGGTCTCCCTTCCCTTGAGGACTCTTCCTGTTACTGGACTGAGGCTTCTGCTGCAGCACTGATCTGAAGACCCCCAGAAACTTATGAAATAGCTCCTCCTTCAGCTGCCCGGTTACTAGCCCAGGTGCAGTAAGCTTCTGAAGGTAAATGTCCTTTGCTCTGTGCTCTTGTGGTGGTGGTTTCTGCATTCTGTTGTTTTGTGTCTTTCTCCTCCACAACACATCCTTGTGGAAAGAAAGTTGTTAGTAGGCTGTTTTGTGAGGACCTTTAATTGAACTCTTGCCGTGCTGATCCTTTCTACCCCTAGGAGGTCCTTCTAGTTATAGTCTAGAATAAATGTTTTGCAGTGCACTCCCTTACTACTTCTGCACAGGGGAGAATATTATGCAGTGGCACATTGCTAGAAAATCCTCTTTCTAGTCAAATTGCACTTTATACATGGATCAGCGTTGATGCTGTCAGTAAATGGCTGTCGTGGTTTAAACCCAGTCAGGTAACTCGTTCACTCACACCCCCCCCCCCCCCTTCTTTCCCTCCCCCTACTCCCGGAGGGACGGAGAGGAGAATCGAAAAGAATGCAACTCCCACGGGTTGAGATAAGAACAGTTTAGTAACTAAGGTATAACACAAATCACTACTGCTACCACCAGTGATAATACTCAGATTACTCAGGACTTTGGAATATTTCGAAAATCAAGACTGCTGTATCAGATCAGTTTACTAAATTGATATGCCTGGCTAAAGAAATACCCATTGGGAAGCGCCACACCAGCTCCTACATGGTGGCAGCACTAGGCACATAGGCTTTGTGGCACTCTGGGCGGCAGAGTGGTGTCTAGGCCAGTGGGCTGGTGGCTGGTCCTGGGGAGGACCAGGTGATGGATGGCAAACACAGTATTTACCATTATCCCAGTTGCTCTTTCCTTGGCTTGCATTTTCCTTTTTTTTTTGGCAGGGCTGTGTTTATTGAGCTGTCACTTCCTGCTTAGCTCTGTGTTCCCTTCTCTGAAGTGTGGAGCTTTCATCATCTGGTGGTGCTGTTGTGTGTATTTCAGGGTAGCTAGTTCTGTGCTGTTGCAGTCTGTTCACACCATGTTGTAGGTAGAACTAATGCCTTCCTTTTCAGCAAACTGTAGTTGTCAGATCTGCATGTACACAAAGCAAAGAACTAACTTGTTTAGATTGGCAGTTGTGTTTTTCTGAACCTGAGTGCATATTAGCTGATACTAAATCCATCAGAGACTGAAAGATACACCTGCTGCCTCCCTTGCTCCTTGTTTGCTGTAGCTGTTAAATTGGTAGCATGTTGTGTGTGCTTTGAGACCTTGCAGTGTAGGGGGGATGGTGTGAAAGATGGTGATAAAAGGAGACCAGTCCCTTCCAGGAGCAAAAACCAGTTCTTGTTTATGTAATAGCTGACTGTTGTCTTCTCCTCCCCCACCTGATGTCACTCTTCCCTGTGCATGCTCTTTCCTTCTCTTTGCCAGACAGCCTGATGCACCATTGAAAAGTGATTTGAGCAGGGCAGCATTTTAGGAGTAACTGTGAAAGCTATTGCTAGCCTTCTCTTTGCTGAAGACAGGTGCTGATGTAAACTGGTGTTTCGTTACTGCAGGAGTATTAACATCCATTTGGTATAACCCAGAAATAGGTTGTTCCACTTGAGAGTGAGGACATTCTCCCTAATGGTCCCAGCAGCTTGAGGTTATGGCTGTGCTATGTTCAGAAGGCATATCACTAGTTAGCTTTAATCCAGCTGGACTGAGTACAACAGTACTCAAATAGTAACACAGAGGTCAGTGTGGGTTACTTAAATGAACAAGTGTCCAGGCTTCTCGAGAGGCTTTGAAAACTTGAAGCCGTGAAAGCTGGCTCTAGCATGGCTGCTATGGTCATTTTACTGCACTATAGCACAGCAATACAACTTTGTGACTGTGGAGTGAGGATACCATTCAAATCATTAGGACATAAATTGCTGAGGTTGTGCTACTGAGCTGTTTAAATTTTTATGTATTTAGCAGCGTAGCAGAATATTGCTACTGGATGAAAGAGCATGTGGTTTTCTTTCCTTGGAAACAGAAAGGTACCGTGCATTGGTATAAGACCCTAGTAAAAATGTATTTTTAGCCTGTGTTTGTTACTGACTAGTGGTCTGCTTGCTGTTGGTTAATACAGAACAGCTCTTCAGTAGCTGTACTTTAATGTCCTGTGTTCAAATCCTAGGTATGTACTTTACCTGTGAAAACACAAAAGTATCATCCTGCTGCTTCAGATGAAGATACTGTATTTAAAAGAACAGATGCTTGTCAGATGAGATGGTAGCAAGCACGTGCACATTATTATCCTAAGTCCAATGCAAGATAATGTGCCAAGTCTTAACCACAGAAGTGGCTTAAGGTAAATTCTATTCCATTGCACCGTAACGTTCCATGATTGAGCTGATAAGTGGTGATTCTGTGTGGCTTGCTAACTTATTTTCATCTCAGGCAGGTAAGTGCTGAAACACTTGAGTGAGCAGTGCCTTAAGAAAAGAAGCCACACGCACACACTTGTGAGAATGTTTAACAGTCTGCTTTCTGCAAAAACTGTTGGTGCTGTAGCTTGCACCAGAAACAGATGACTGGGCATGTTTTACTTAAGATGTTGCTGAGGGAAAAATGAAGAATCATTTCCGTTTCATTTGTTTATATGTTAGTATACTTAGATTTGATCCATTTGCCCTGGAGAATGGCAGTCTCAGACTCTTAGACTGATACAAATTCCTTTAAATTTCTACCAAGAGACTTTGGGTTTATTTTTACTGTCAACCAAGGACTTTCTGAATGCAGATACACCCATAATCTCACTGTAGGTAATTGCTGTGTAGAAGATCCTTGTTTTAAACATCTGATTGTGAAAATGGTATCATCTTTTACTATGGCAGCTTTAATATGTTATATTTGCATTTGCTCATTATATCCAGAAGCTTTTAACATGTTGGCTCATAGGACCAACAGACTGGGGAGGGGAGGGATTATTTTGGGGTTTTTGGGGGGATATTTGGGGTTCTTTTTGTCTTGTTTTTTTGTTTGGTTTTATTCTTGTTTTGTTTGGTTTTGGTATTTTTTTGTTTGACTTTTGGGGTTTTGGGATTTTTGGTTAGGTTTTTTTTGTTTGTTTGGTTTTGTCTTTTTTGAGAAAAAGTATGAAAGCTTAAACTAATGGGAATTTCCTAATGGGAATAATGAGCCGTAAGCATAAAGTTGTAATTGTGGAACTAAGTGCTACCTGTGATCCAGTATGGCAAGTACACAAGAGGCAGGTATGTCCTATGTTGGTTTTAAAATCTGCTTGCCAGCTGGAATTCAGGTAGAGAGCAAAGATCCAACTCCCTAATTTTTGTTTATTTTTTGCTCCTGCACTTTGCTTGTAGTAGCACCAAGCAACTCAACGCAAAATG